TTCATATACACTGCTTTTTAATAACCAGCTCCAATAAGGAATAGTTTATATTGGTATTATAAAACTATCTAGTAGAAGTAGAAAAATATAAACAAATATGTGTGGCGTATAATTCTAAGATTTAATACTAGAACTGATGTTAAAGCTTACCATATTATAATGCAAATTATTAAACTATTATTTGTCTATATAAATAAGAATGTAGGCTATGATTGCATTGTACTTGATAGCTATAATGTAAATATATTATTAACCCTAATTTAAATATTACTAACAATCTCGTCTAAGTTAGTTTTATTGATGTACTCTTTGGAAATATCTTAATATAATAACATCACATAATTTTACTGGTCATACGTTTCTCGTTAAAGAATCTGGCCAAAAAGACTGTTCTGTAATTTTTGTATTTTTTGTAAGGTAGATTTTATACTTTTGCAAATTTCGAAACGTATGTATCAACTAGTCAATAAAACATAAAGAAACGTTGATTGTTTGATTTGCCTTTTTTAACCAATTTGACCGTATTTTAAGTGCATTTACTCAAAATACTATTTGATAATACTAATCAGTGGCGTTACAATAGGCCCCCGACCCAAGAGGGCCAAGAGATATTAATATGTTCTATGGATGAATGTGAAGTCTCCAATACGCGTTAGGCTAGCGTGGGGAACTACTATACACATTCCATCTCGCCTTAGAGAGGAGGCCTAAGGCCATTAGTGGGACATATACAACGTGTAATTGAGTACGCTGAAAATCTTGAAGTTTATTAAAATTAAACTGAGTACAATGTGATTATTTTTACTTATAGGGCCCCATCTAAAGAATTTGCCACGGGCCCCAGATGGTATAGTTACGCCACTGATACTAATATTTGTGACTTATTAGTATCGGAAGGGTACTTAATAGTGTCCCTTTCCTAGAGAGAATCCTAAGCAAAAGTACTTACCAACAAATAATTTAAAAAATCAGGATCTGGTAGCTCACAGTTAAAATAGATGAACATTTTCGATCAATAATTTTTTACCCTTTTACAGTGTTCCTTTTTTCTTAATAAAAAATTAAACTAATATAGAAATAAAGGTTCAAAAATTTCTGAAAATCAAAATATTTCTACTGTAAATCTGTAGATTTCGTCTTTAGTGCTGGGATAATAAAAACTATAGAATTCTATTAAATATTTTAACACTTAAACAGGACTCCATATGAGTAATAGTTATTGATATCAGCCGTTCGTGTTAGGGGTTCGAAGCCGCAACATGTTTTGAAATCTAATTTGCAGTTGTGGAACTTGTGTAGTTTTTTTTCACTCCTCACTTTAACCTTCACCGCTGTGAACTGTTTTGTATCCACAAAATAATAATACTATAAATATTAGTTGTGTCTAGTTCTTGCAGGTACACGTTATCCACTTATCTAAAGGAAATATTAAATAAAATAAACAAAGAAATGCGTTTGGTATAAACTAATATCATGGGGTATTAAAATAATCATTATTGATTATTTTTATATCCATCCAATATAGGATAAATTAAATCATCGTAATTATTTATCTAAACTATCTCAGTACCAAATTTTTACAAGGCTTGCCGTGAAGAAATTGGGCATATGGGAAACTATACACAAGCAACTATTCTGATTACACAGTTCAAGTTGAAAATTTCTATATGAAAATTTACCTTTAAATTAGATACTATGTGTGACTAGGTGCCAAGACAGCTATTTTAATTGTCTATGTTTTGTTTTCTACGCATTTGCTGCTAACCAAGTAATTATAAAACCATTATCATTTTCTGGTTATCTTTTATGATATAATTAGCGAACAAACCATTATTAGAACAAAGGCAGTGTTGACATCTTAATTTAGACCTATAAAAATATATTAAGAAATCGCTCTCATACATTACATATACACCAAATTGAGGTCTATAGTACTAACAAGGTAAATAAAACAAAAACATCCAAAATTAAATAACTTCTTTTATTTCAGAGTCAAATTTCTTTCCTACATAAACGTGTTAGAATGGACGCCGTATTGGCTGTCTCGGTACGCGATGGTAATACAAGTGCACTGTGGAGGGCTTTACAAAGCGTTCCCGCGCGTCACCACTTCCGCCATATGCATTTCGCAACGAACGCTTATTTTATATCACAGTTACAGATGTTTCATAAGAATGTTTTACCCGCGTTGGGTGACGCACGAGGCCGCCTTTAGCACTATTGACTTTAATTAATAATAATAACTATGCGCATTCACATATACCCGAACAAATCGCGAATCGGTAACAACTACGAACCACTACCGACGGGCCGCTAACGCTTTCACGCTTCACATTCCTCTTTAACTCACTATTGTAACAGTTAAGAGGCGTTTATAAGTAACGCCGGTCTTGGTCTTTGCGGCCTCGTCGATCAAACTATCGCCTGAACACCCTAATTTAATCAATAATCAACAATTATCCGCCCATCACTAACACTACACGCTTTAATATCGAGTGGAAAAATATTTTCTGATTTTCTCCAAACAAAATTAACATAACATCTTCCATGCTGGACGCACATGGCAAAACAAAATACAAGGCGAGACGTGGCATGGGAGAGCTACGAGATCCATTTATTTTAGATAAATTATTGGTAAACTGCGCCTTTAGCATGTGCAATTGTTTTAAAGGATATTTATTTCTATAGAAATTTTGAGAAGTGCTCTATAGGCCTATTTGGAATTAAAAAGGATATAAGACCATTCATTAGCATCATAAATATTTTAGCGATTTAACCTGAATGAAAAAAACTACAAAAAAGTTATAATTTTATTATGTTCGAAATCCTTTTTTTTAGAAATGATTTTTTTTATAATCCCGCATCTCTTCCACACCACGAATTATTGCTAATATATCTTCATACACTTATAAGAACACTTCAATAAACAGCTTCTCTTTATATACTACACAATTTACATATGGTTTACATATTTTACACAGCAATAATTGTTTTTTTATATCTATATCGAATCGCTAAATATTGTCGCATATAAGCATGTTTACATACACCGTAAGGCGTCATTTTTAACCACTATCCATCCCCAAATTAATGCAACGCGATTAGAATTTCAGCGACATAAATATAACAAAGAAAACGATGCGTCTTCAGACGTAATTTAAAAAGGAAATAATAAAATCTATAAATGCTGACAAATCTGTCTTTTGTCTGGAATGACACTAGGTGCCGGTTTTGTTTGGACGCTGTATTTTTTTTATTATCTTTTCTTTTATATTGATATAAACAAATGTTTATGGCATTTCTGCTAAACAGTTCGACATTAGAAGACATACAAAAGTCAAAGGACCTTTGTCCTTTTCCGACAATTTGATTTCACTTCCGATTCAAGTGTGTAGACAAAAACTCGTAACGATCAATGAAACAGGTACACAGCTCTGTTCCATGCCCCGTTAAAATTACTGTTTTTTTTAATTACGTAGATTACCATTGGTTTTTGCGTTTTGCGTTTCACATATAAATAATAATATAAACAAATCGATTTATTCAAAAACAGCGTCCAATCATAACGGCTTTAAGAAACTAGCGAAAAATTCAGTACGATCAAATTTAATACCACTAAAATACGTTACAATTTCAAAAATAAGCAATAACCAACGGATAGACGAACGTATGGCAAAAATATTGGCGTAGTCCTGCGACGTACAAAGAAACACGAATTAAACTAAGTGAATTGTATCAGTTATCAACGGCCATTCTCAATAGCCTTTCAAAATCGATATTGGCTATTACGGCCCGTGAGAGACGAAATCAGAAAAATCAGCCCCTTATCACACAGTATTAGAACAATTAAAACACAAGAAACGGCAAAACAAAATTAAAAGCAAAATTCAGTACAAAATTGTTCTAATATTCTCTTACTGACACAACCCTTAAATGAAAAAAAAATGGTAGAAAAAACAGATAACTGTTTTCATATTTACATAGTTGCACACCGTAGACACTATATTTTTCGTAAATCAACGCGGAATATTTTTCGTGTGCACGGTTAGTTTAAATAAGATTCTTAAGTATTGATTACGTTATTTCTCTATGGCATTGCAACTTTTGTGACTCCATTGCGGCTACACTCCGGACAATCAGGGAAGACAATTTTATAAAACAACTTTTGAAATCAAAGAAACAACTAAGAACGTACAACATCTAATACATACATAAAACAGGTTTAATACTATTTCTTAATAAGTAAATAATTTAAAGGCTGAAATAATAATAAAAATTTAAAGAAATTATACATTTTAAATATTGTTGTAGTACAGAAATTTAAAAGATTATAGAAAGTGTTTGTCAGGGTACAGACCGAGGTCCACATTTTAAACGATATACGAGAATAAGATACAAAACTATGAATAATTGCTAATATCTAATTCTCTTTACAGTAATAAAGATTTAATTTTGATATTTATAGGAATGAATTATCTATAGATTATATAAGGTCCGGTGTGGTACCTATTGGTCCATTGGTACAGTGTAGCCGCTGAAGGAAGCGAGAGCACAGCTAAGTGGACGCATCCGTTTTGATAAGGTTACTTGTCCCTGAAAAAAAAAAACACTTTTAGTGATTAACGATATTTAAAACTTCTATTTAGTTCGATTTACCATATAACGGACAATACTCATTACAAAATGTGGGCGGTATTTGTTGCCATGGTTACCATTTTTATATCAAAACAACATCGTAACACGTTTTATAATAAAACCATTTTAGTTTTGAGTACTATCCAATATCAGTTGTGTGCGATTTTAATATAAAATGCATATCCATAGACTATAGAGTAAAATAATCGCCTAACGGACCGGTCGGCTTTTCGATTGACCAATCAGAAAACGCGCCATCTTTTGTAGCTTTGATACGAAATATCAGAATCAATCTTGTCTATCTAAATCAGCAGAGTTCTATGTAAATGAAACTATGTAGAAAACTAGAAGATAAGATACAGTACCTACCTCATCCAATGCGAGTGCGAGTTGTGTGCCGGCGTAGGCGCATGGCTCTGGGTCGCGACTCGTTGGACCACCTGGAATCAAATATTCGATATTAGTGAACATACATAAAGAAATATATATATTTTATTATAAAATAAGAAAAGATAAAATTCTTGTTATTTCTTTTTTTCCTCAACTTATATAACGGGCAGGCAAAAACTCTAGTGACGTCATCTAACGCCTATCTAGATGTGTTTTTCTCTATTCAGTTTCTCTTACATTTTATTCGGAATTGCATATCTGGTAGCATGTTCAAAGTAGAACTAAAAAGTAACATTTAATAGCTTTATATTTAAAAAGATATACCTATATTAAGTTAAAATGAATTCAAATATATATAAACAAAATATTATACCTGTTGAACAAAAGCCCGTGTGAGATGGGGCGCGCTGCGTTCGGCGACTTCGAAAGCGCGACGCAACTCTTCAATGGCTGCCACGCTCGAAGGACCGTGTTTGCGGGACAACTGGAATTATTATTAAACATAATTATGTTTATGAATAAATGATATGACAGTAAATAATCATTATATTCACGATATTAAGCCGTGAGCCTCAGATTGCATTTGTTTTTGGTATATAGATCATCAGAGTCTAAGATATGCCGGTTTCTTCACCCATAGAGAAAAGAAAGCCGAGTTTGAACATAACACACCATTCTTATGACCATTATTTATTTTTTATAGAAATTATATCCATTTTTCTTCCACGAGCAGTGTATGGCTCCATAGCGTGCGAACCGATTTCCTCGGTTTTGCATTGGTTGGAAAGGTCCCCGGCTGTGCACGAGAGGATTTCTAGCAAAGAAAATGCAGGAAAAATTTCCACAGAAAGGCGAAGGGATCGTGACCAAACCGAAATGTCTTAGACCCAAAAACGAACGCCATCTGGTGGCAACTGGAGGCTATCACCTACTTGCCTATTTTTTTATAAAATATTATATAACAGATTAGGAAATCCGAGCCGTGTTGGCCTAAAAGTGAGCTTGTAGCGTGCCACTGACTCATATACCTCATTGAGAAGCGTTAAGAGTTCGGTATCCCCGCTGTCACCAATAGGACTATGTTCTCCTCTATGTGTGCATCTAACATGGTCAACTCGAACGGCTGAAATGGAAAACTTCTTGAGTAAGGTTCTGATAGATACATTAATATGCCAAAAAAGTCTACGTAGTATACAGGTATTTTGGAAGGTAAGATCCCTACTTACACGTTTCTTGACTAAAAAATGGCCAAGAAACAGAATAAGTCAAATTTGACCCAGACCTAAATATGAGGTTGAAGCGAAATATCTCTTTGTATTTATATACCTCGTTGAGAAGCGGGTTAATGAGTTTGTGTAAGTAAGCGTATCATGGAAAGATGACTTTGTTCTCCCTACACTGTACTCTGTGTCTAACGGAGGCAAGCGTGCAGAATACTCAAATTTTGATAAGGTTTTGATACCGTCGACTAATGATGTCAAATTGTGCACAAGGCTCGCAAATACGTTGCCGGCCTGAATTAAAGTATCGGTAAGATCTTCTAATTCAGATTACTTCATCACAAGAACTGACTGTTTAGGTTGTGAATATTGTGACTAGATTTAATATAATGAATAACACTATTTCAATATAATATAACAACGATTCTAAAGAGCACATATATTTATTAAATGTAATGAAATCATGACAAACTGACCGGTTTGTTATAAACACCACTATCCCTGTTAGATGTATGTTCCCTTTCTCTTTCCTTCCTATCATCTCTTTCCCTCTCCCTCTCCCTGTCTCTATCTCTTTCGCGCTCTCTATCCCTCTCTTTTACGCGCTGCTCCACTGGCGTTGGTACTATTGGAGATTGGCGTGACTGAAAAAAATCCATTATTATTATTAAACACTAAGAAGATTTTGCATCTCATGTTCATTATGTTCTGACAGTCGGTTATTCGGTTTACTAATTCTGATACATAACTGAAAAGGTAAGAGAGGAAACAAAATGATCACAGCCAGTCGCATCGGGACTTCCTACGACTATATTTTGTTGGAATATTTTTAAATAAAAATAACGATTATTCTTCTTTTAACAGTACTAGTCAAAATAATTCCCCAAAACCTGGTGTTTCACCAACAATCACAAAACATGCCCTTTGTCCCACATAGGGGACAGAGGCTTATTGCTGGTGTGCAACTTCTCGATGAAGTTTCCTATATTTAAAAGCATCACATTTATTGTAAAGTATACATACAGTTTGATTATCGTGTGTATTATTATTGAGAGGTTTCTCAACAGGCGACTCGTCTCCGCGTGTGAGAGATCCATTCTGTTTGGGCACTGTCGGGGAACTTGGGGACACGAGAGCTGAAAAAAAATACTATTATGTATATACATTTACTAATAATATTTAAGCAGTAACATCAGGTAGATTTTCACAACTAAAGAGAATGAGATTTTGTGAATGAATTACAATTATATATAGTTTAATATATAATAAAAAAAACTATCTCTTTATATTTTATTAATTGATCAACCTGCGTTACAGTAGATTTTATACAAACAATTTTGAAAAAGACTAACTAACTGGGTTTCAAAACAATAAAATGGTGTGTGTATGTAATAATGTGTCATTGAAAACTAACCAGGTTCATCATGAAGCGTACGCCGTTTGTCGTCGTCGTTGGCGGATGCGTGCGTATGCGCATGAAGCGCACGTGCTCCGGCTGCACCGCGCACTGTCATTATCCAAGGCTCATCTGCCTCGCCGTCGCCGCGACTCATGTCTTCACTGGAAAATTAAATACATTCACTTAGCTAAAGATTTTAATTAATTATTTTATATTAATAAAACAAAACCTGCTTTTATTTTATGGCCCTTTTGATATTTATGAACAAAAAAAGGTTTTATACCGCCATTTCCTTTTCCAAAGTCATTCAATCGTGGCGTAATTGTTTACGAAAATTATCAAATTTGTATTAAGGTACATTTTTAAAATCTAATTTAATAATTTAATTTATTAGAAAGGTGTTTTGACATAGTATTTAACAAAAGCCTAACCCCTTGTTGCAACTATACTAACCAGAATGGCAAGCCGTCCTCTGTAGTAATAAGCCTTGTTTAATTTATTTAAAATTAAATAGTAAAAACTCACGAATCAGAGTTCTCAGATTCCGTCTCGCTTTCCTCACTCCTCTGGGACTTCCACTTCTTATACCTATCTATAAGATCCATTAGATATGAATTTTTCTTTGCCTTTCTGATGAATTGGAATTTTAGCAGCTCCTTTGCTGTCGGTCTCTAAAAAGGTACGACGTGTTAACAAAATATAAGTAGCATTTAAAATCGAAATTGCCTCAAAATAAATAACTGTTCGGTAGGACTGTTTGGCTTAAGTAATATCATAAAATACTCAGAAATATGTCTATAAATCATCCCTTATATAGGTTAGTAAGAAAAAGACAAGGTGAGCTAAGGACATTTATATTATATCGACATAATTCTTAAAACTGTGAATAAATTACTATGCATACAATTTTCTCAAATAAACTTTCGCGCCAACCACAACACCATCAAACTCCAATCCTTCATATAAAACGTTATATAGCTGCAATCAAAACAAATTACGCCTTGTACGAGGCTAAAGCCCAAGGGACAACCAATAAAAGAAACCTCAAATACATACATTTTCCGGGTCCTTATTAAGGCACGCCTCGACGAACTCTTTGAATGGCTTCGAATAACTGCCCGTAAGTTGTGGAGGGTTGTTTTTGGGGATTAGGAAGAGAACTCTCATTGGGTGCAGTTCTGAATTTGGCGGTTCACCCTTGGCGAGTTCTATGGCCGTGATGCCGAGTGACCAGATGTCTGCTTTGCTGTCGTAGCATGACTGTTTGATGACTTCGGGCGCCATCCAGAACGGTGTTCCGACGAATGTGTTTCTCTTACTTGTTGTATTAGTTAATTGACCAGCGACACCTGTAATTGTTATTACAACATTAAATATGTTATATTAATTTAAATATCGTAAATTCCTTATTCTATTAGTTAATACTGTATACAATAATTGTGTGCTGTAATAATTTTGTGGATCGTAAGAGTCAATTAAATAGCTAATCATTTTTTTATCCTTTTTTCCTTATTTTAAGCTAAATAAATACGACAAAATGTTATTTAATTTTGCGTTATTGTGTTAATGAATAATAATTTTACATATCTCGTTAATTATGCGGAAAACTTATTATTAAACAATTTTATTAACTTCATTTCAACATGCCATTTAACTAGAGAAATATGCATGTCGTATAACGTGAGCGCGTCGGAATTGCACGCTTCCTCTAACTTTTATGAAAGTTCGATATTACCAACTTTCAAACACTTTGCCTCAAAGGCTAACTCTTTCCTCAGACATAATAAGTTCACCGTTGGCAACACTTGACAAGTTGCAAACAGGACATGGCGATGTATTGGTACAGCGTCCCAAATGGCGCAAATATTGAATGTTGGCCGACAGCCAGCGGGATTAAATGAAGAAAATTGAAGGGTATACTTCCATTACAGTTTTACATATGATGAATAAATATGTTTAGGCTTTCAAATACTCGAGGGCGACAAACTACAAATAGTACCTAGTTTCTATAAATAGTATAAAACAAAAAACGATATTTAACCTAGACAACATACTTTTTAAATAATGATACTCATGTGTATTAATCCCAAGATTAAATTTATAAAAAATGCTAAAAGGCTAAAAGTTTTTAAATTAAAAATATTCTCCATGTTGAAACTGTTTAATGTTGAAATTAAGTTTCTTTTAAAACATTTAGAAAGTTTTTTATAGTATTTTAAGAAGAACCCTTGGGATATTACCTCTTGTATAGAAAATTATATTTCTTTGAAACTTTAAAGAGTGCATTCAGAATATTAATATGAATATACATTCCATGTTTCCATTTTAATCAAAACCGTTAAAATGTATAATTAATATAACATTTTAATAAGACTAAGTCCCTCAGTCACAAATATTTCATGAATGTTTCGTCACATTTAAGTAATTCGATAGAATTGATGACAGAACATTATACTTTGTCGACTTTATTATAAAACGTAGACAAAAGTTAGTACCACGTTCCATGATGATTTTTCCATGATGAATCCTTGTCAATGCGATCGAAGGATTGTCTTGGCACCTTTCTACTTCTACTCCCTTCCATTTATAACAGTTTCCGTGATCAATCTCTGCGGTCGATGTCAAGAAATTGTGGTCTTTCAGCTGGTCGATAGTGATTTATGATTCTTAGATTTATCGAGTGTCGCACCTCATGTCGTACCTTTATCACAACTTGAAAGGGGTAACATCTTATGGATGGTTGTAACCTCTTTATTGTTGAAGTATTGTGAAGCTAAAATTTAAATTACCTAAATATATGTTGCGAGCAAGGATGTGCGTGTGGAGTAATGTGCATACTATCAAAAAAACAACACATTTTTTTAAATCAATTACGTGTTTAATTGTAGGATTAATCTAACATAACAGATGACGTGTAGATATATTTACAATTAAATGCATTCAATTTTGATTTTAGTTTGTCGAATATACACGTTTTGTTCATACAAATTTACTAAATTTAAGTTCGATTAGCGTTTTTGCGATGCCTTCGATTCACTCATTAACATCACGTAGTTTAATACCCCGATATAACATTACTTCCGCAACCTACGGTGTAGTTTCAAACTATCTTTATTACAATCTTATCGTAACGTAACGACTTTCCTCGTGGAAATGAAAGATCCATCAGTACCAAATGTTGGCGATTAGCGGACTACGAAGCGAATACGAATAAACTATTTTATAGGTGTTACGAACATTTGTAACGCCGAACATTTGTGAACAAGTTCTAAGGTATAAAACTATAAAGTCAGAGAAACTTTATATAAATGAGAATCTAACCAATACCATAACTGTGACTAGTAGGTTATATTTTGCTGACTTAATTTTCTACAATACTACAACATAGCTTATACAAAGATAATGTTAATCAACAGTCTTAGTCTGTCTTGGCACTACGATCGTGTCCGAGATACCGCACTTGCACTTACATTCCCTACACTACACTAGTTTCAATAAGGTAAAAATAGAAATAATGAATCGAAATCTATATCGATTTAAATTATTTTACTTGTATTCGTCGAGAAATTATTTTACGGTTTCCCCATTTTAGATGCAGATAAGGCAATCAAATCGTATTTATACCTCATGAAAGAAAATCATATAAAGTCTCTCGCATTTCTGTATACGCGGTAGTTCAAAATATGTCAAGGGTAACATAATGCGCAATTAGAAAATCTGTTCTCTTACCAAAATCCGCCAGTTTGACATCGCCCATTTCACTGAGGAGTACATTAGCAGCTTTGATGTCCCTATGGAGCTTCCTCTCAGAGTGCAAGTAGTCGAGGCCTCGTAACACCTCCCGCAGTATCACAGCAATGTGCATCTCCTCGAAGCTGCCGGCCTTCATCAGGTCCAGGGCGGAGCCACCGCCAAGGTACTCCATTATAATCCATAGTTTTGTTCCCTGGAATTAACAAAAGACTGCTAAGTATATATTACATTACATATATACACTCCGTTGTTTGGAACCATATTGAACGGAAGAAATAAATGTCATGAAAAAAATGTCTTAAAAGCCCTTAAATTAAGTGTTGTATTTTTATATTATTAGAATGCTCTTCTTACGAAATATGTACATAATATTTGGTATAATCGATCTAATCATATGATTAGTTTAGGAGAGGGGATAAACGAGGGTACGTTTTTCCCTTGACGTCGTCTATTATAAATTCTAATGCGCATTAAATTGATAAAACACAGACTATTATGCATATATGTATGAACTAATAACTGTTTACTAATAAGGAAACTTATTCAATGTGCAGAGATTAGCAGACGTTGGCTCAATTAAGGAACTGTCTCCGAGCGGATAACATGATCGCGTCTCATGAAGATTAATGCGCACACGTCTGCTCTCCAACACGTTATAACTTATATTTAATATGTAATCATATTGATTTTAATATTCAGAGAAAGCTCATTATCGTGGTTATGGAAATATTATTTATTGCCAGTATCTGCCACCTTTGTCATTAAGTAATATAAGTATTAAGCTATACTTAGAAGTAATCTATCAGGTCTGTATTTAATAAAAAGATCCGACAATTTTCGTACTCTTTTAATGCTTCAAAGCCCTTAAAAATAAAGACCCTCATTAAGCGTTCCCTTTTACAATAAAAACGGATGGTACATTATAGCAATGAGGTTCCGACGAAATTAGAACATTTTTAACCGCCTTCAAAAATCCTGTCCTATCCTATAATTCTAGAACAAGTTTTACTATTGTTTAAGTACCGTTCATAACATACAGGCCCTTAGTAAATTAATCATCAATACTTAATATTTAATTATTTTATTCAATTCAAGTAGTAAGTACGAATATAACACATTTGAGTGCTTTTGAAGACGGTTTAATTTAAATAAATATTCAGAATTTTCTACGAAACAGAGGAAGCAAAGTCTTGGCACAAGAAATGCGCATCGGGGTGCAGCCAAAACTATGTTCATGATAATATAATAGCGCATTATATGAGAGTATGTTGCATCCGCATGTTAATGTCATACGGAAGAGGACAATGGCAGGAAAAGCAGTCGCGCGCGGCTCCGGCGCAATTCACGCCCCATCGGCTTTCGTAATAGGGCCTCTGCACCATAATATTACTACGTGATCTACATTTCATAAAACTAGACTGATGTTTCTGACTTCGTTTATAGAGATTGAATACATACATCAAAACTTGTAAATAATTTAACTTATAATATACAAGGACAATCAGTTCAACTTACGTTGTATTGTGAAATTTGAGGGTACTCAATACTCCTTGTATTGTTGTACTCAAATGAGTATTCCAATAAAAAAATATTCATTAAAATATACACTGAATAATAATAATAAATAATGGACCAAAACAAAACTTATAATCATAGAATTGCAAGTATTAAAAACATTGAAATCTATATTGTTTACTTAACACATACATATGTAAGCAATATTAAATAACGGATGACGACTAAAGCTTGGTACAAAGAAAATGGCAAGGGAAAAAGACAATATTTGTTATTCAACCTTCCGAATATCATTACCATAAAATGCAGTATATGCTCGTCAAATACGTTTCATCACAAAGGACGTCACAGACGAAATAAATATGCCTACATAAAAACATTAAAACTGTTGCAATTTTGGTAACCCTGAATCGGAAGTAGCCGTACAATATCTGCTTTCACATTACCCGAAACCGCCTGTGGTTTCCGCGGATGTAATTTTCATAAAATTATGATGTAAACATAAGGGTGAAGAAATTGCCCGCTGTGGTGATGTAACGCAAATACCTAGGGATTACGTGTGTAAACATGACATTTTATATACTCTTGCAAGCACTGCGGAAGGTTAAACTCGCACAGCGAGGTGAATTAGACTTAAGACGTAGAATTTTATTGTATTTGAGGTGACTATTTCTTTAAGGCTTCTCATACGATCCATAGTTGACTAATATTCTACTGCTAAGTATTTTTGTATCAAGCATTGTAACTTCTAAGTCTGATTTAAATACAAAAAAGTTTTTCTAGTAACCACATTGGGCATAACGCGACCGCAGTGCGTATATACCTCAACGAATGTTTAACAAAATGAGAAAAACAAACATAATACTCTAGTCATCAGGCGGCATACCGCAACGCAAAGCAACATTTACTCTGGCGTGATAAGATTAATGTTTGGTATTTGTTTAGTTTTATTTATTTCAATCATAATTTCTTATTCAGTTTGGTATTATAACAAATAATATTACTTAGAAATAATATAAATAATTCATTAAGTTATTAAAAAAAGAGGAAAAAAATATTCTTCATTTATAAAAATGTTTAGTTAGATACAATAAAGGACAAAGATGTGTTCCTAAGAGAATATTACTCATAAATAATAACTTGTATATTTTAAAATAACACATGTCTGTGATAAAGAAATGTAAAATAGCGAACAGTCTTAAGCAATTAAACATATATAGGTAGGTAGGTTATGCTCATGTAGTTACACTGTAGAATATGTAAACTTGACGTAGTTTACAGGCAATTATTCTTTGATGGCTATCAAAGGCGTACGTTAAAGCAAACTGGGCCAATATGTCAAAGCAAAAAATCTTATATCCCTTAAAAACCTCACTTGACCCACCAAAGCCTGATTTAAAACAAAGACACGCTGAGTTATTCATTGTCTGAATCCGAATAAATTCGTCGACTAGTATATTGCAAAGCTAATCTATTGATTGGGGCTTCACTTTCGTAACTTCATCAACTTCGGTCTTCCATCGCGTATTTACCTTATATTATATATTTACACAAAAGATGTTTTATATATTTAAATCCCTCCCTTAGTCGATGTACATCATAAAACCAAATCTTCAATTATCGAACTCCTTACTTCGACTTGGCATTAATAAAAAAAAAATTCAATGTTTTTATTTTTCAAGAGAAATAATAAAATTAAACAAATTAAAGATGACTTTTATATTATACCGAGCAATTTACAAATAGAACAAAATAGGAGGTTAAACACATAAATAGATTAAAATGAAAGACAATTTGCATAATCGGATTAAACGCATTTGTCAGCACGAAAGCCTTTTAAAATACATTTACGGTTTGCACTCTTACGCGTTTCTAGATATGCTCCGGCATACAGATTACGGCAGATAATTTAATTTCTCTCTGGTATAAAAAATGCTGAGACACAAGTTTGTCTCATAGGTATCTGTAACCATGGCAACATGGAGCGTCGGTCAAAGACCTCTCCGTCGCGACATCCACCAAAGTAAAACAAGAATGCAGAACTATTAATCCTAGAGAAATTCAAATAGGGGTGTGTCTAACAATGTTACAAACTTTTCAGTTTAGATTTAACGGATCTTGAACACGGGCCACGGCAAGCTTTTATTATGAAAAGCGTCTGCAAACTCGTTAATTAATTATAACTTGATTCATTATGGTCCCATTTTAAGTTTGGGAGAAACATTTAATTGTCTTTGGCGCGACAATTGAGTTTATGCGTTTGAATCTGTTTTCATGCGAAAACCGTAACAATAATGCTTTTCGTTTGCAGAAACATACGTTTTACGTACGCTATAAACAAAGGGAATAGAAAAAGGTTTTATATCTCAGTAGACACGGAGGCTTGCACGCAATCGAACTAGTAGCGAGGGGCGAATATTCGTTTAACTAATTCAAGATGAGCGTCACCATAGCAACGTCAGAGGGCGCCTACTTCCTCTAGCCTCTATAATTTACCGGATGATTGGATAACGTTAGTTGCAACGTAAGTAAACAACCGCTACTTTGAAATATCATTGCCATAATAATAACGTTACTATATAGCCCAAGGCATTACAGCTTCCTAAAATCAAGACATTGCATAAGATGTATACTGTTATACTTATGGATTGCTATAACTATAGATAATACTAAGTACTAGTTAATGACAGTTTAGAAAGTACAAATTTGCGGAACGTTCCATTTACAAATATGCCGATGTACATGAAATTATATAAATTATCATAAAACATTATGATGTTCGTTATTGTTGCTACATATAAAAAAGATGATAGAAAGAGGTAATTTATTTATTTATAAAAGCTGGCCGCTCGGTTCACTTATGTGAGTGTATATTTAATCTGAGAAGCACTTACAGGCAAACATAACATACAAGAGATAAAAAAAAATTTTATAAAATTCCATTTTAAAGTATAAATACGGAAATCCAGACCTATCTCGTTTATCCGAATGGATATCGGTGAGTTTTGGCCAAAACGCGTTCTTCTAAGAGAAAGAAGGTACAAAATGGATTATGGGATGCCAGGGGATCTAGAGGGTACAAGAAATTTAAATTTAGTTGAAAAGTCAAATAATCAAACTCGCTTTTAGTGTTTGCGAACAGAAAATTGAAATGGCATTTAATATTTACCATTCCATTATCGTTCGAGAGGTCACATTTCGTTACGAAACCAGCTGATGCGACAAAATGTTAGTAAATATCCAGCCAATTCACGTAGTATTTGTGTTCGGGAGTCGAACTTTTCAATCAACAACAAAATTAAATCAATCCACTTCAAATCTACAGCATCCGTACAAACAAATTCCCTTAGCTAACCTGCAGTAATGGAAATTGGATTTTACATTTTTAAAACGAATTTTAAGAGAAAATATACTCTTTTATTAGTAGTTTTTTGTCATCTTCCACAGTTATAAACTTCTAAATCACACATGAAATGTAATCAATAAGAATAAACTGTCAAAATATTCCATTGTAGCATTTTGCTAACTTTAGTAATAAATCTTCGTTCATACAATTTCGTGTCCGAAAAGTTTGCCCACGCTACAAAAGTAACTACTGTTCATTTGTCATTTCGGGCATTGGACCCACCTAAAGACTGGATTACACGGAATTATACCTCGGAGGCTGTGTTTCGTAGTAACCACCTCTAAATGATGTATTTACTTGTGAAAGTGCGTAACTTCGACCTCTAGGGAGAACACTTTAAAGATTATATAATATCTCACACTTGGCTAAATACAAGGTATATAAAAGCTAAAGGTTTAATCTACTGGTATTTCATAGCAATGGTTAATTTAAGACACATTTTTGTTCGACCATTTTGAATCTAAAGCTGTTACAATGTTGAATGATCAGTATCAGGGCACGAGGAAGGTAACTCAAGAAACCCGATAGATCTAATACCAGCTCGATTACGTTATCAAAGTATAAAGTATTAAAGGAGGCCATTAATAAACCCCTATAAGCGCAACGCCATAAAACATTGATAGTACCGTGCCATAAAATCCCCACAAGGACCCTCGCCGCGCTGATCGTAAGGCGAAAACTGCAAATAACATTTGAGAGTGCCAACATAAAAAAGTTTAATGTTTGACAAACAGTAAAATGTACGAAATGGTGACAAACAATTATTTTAGACTCCGACACACTCCTGAATTGCCTTCATTTATGGATTGAAAGTACTAAAAGTTTTATTTTTGGAGATATTACATTATCGATGTGATGTGACATACTTTTGGTCAAGCAAAATCATATTGGTAGGGGAGCGTGGGGCTTGTTGTAACAGGGGTAAATAGTAACAGACCTTTTTCAATAGGAATTTGAATTTTATTCACGTTTTTTTTTAACCTAATCTTAAACTTATAACGTGCCACGCCACTTTACCAGCATTTCAGTGAGTGGGTGTGTGCAAACGCTTTATTGTTGACAGGTAACCTATAATTTTACTAACGTAAATTTTTTGTTAGTTTCACTATTTTCATAGATTTGAAGATTTATGTATTTTATTTTATGCTAAAATATAACTATTTATGATGTTGTATAACAGTTTTCAAGATTACTAAGTTGATTTAATAGTTATCGTGATAAATATTAGGAACTATATCAAGGGGCTAGTTGTAACAAAACCTCGGGGTTTGTTGTAACATGTTACAATTTGCCCCCAGATTGCTGTAAGTTACTGACGGCCGATGTTCATTTTTCCCCGGCTTAAATACTCAGAAATGTTCATTCGCGGTGGTCCTCAAGATTGCATTGGAGCTGGTAATTCTTCAGGGTGGATGACTGATAAAGAATTTTTGATTTTTGTAGATCATTTTATCAAACACTCGAAACCTACCAAGAAAGAGCCAGTTCTGTTACTGCTCGATAATCATTGCTCACATGTGAATATCGCAGTTGTCGAAAAAGCCAAAGAAAACAATGTTATCATGTTATAGTTTCCCTCCCATTGCTCCCACAATTTGCAACCTATGGATGTAGGAGTCTACGGCCCTTTTAAAAACTACGTGAACAGAGCACATACTGCATGGATGTATAATAA